GAAATGTCAATTAGCGTTAATTGAAAGTGGACTGACATACAACCTCTAGAGATGGGTTTAGCCTGTGGAGAGGAGAGAAAACATGCCAAAGGTTGCATGCTATGTTCTTCCAAATGGAGTAGACTCAGAGAAGAATGCAATCAACAGTTAAGACAGGAAGTGGTTGTTTCCAATTAAGCCTGCAATTGAGGACCAGGATGCTTATGGGGTAGGGAAGGGGGGGATAGCTTTCTAACTTTCTAGCTATGTTAAGCATACAGATGTGGCAAATATGGATGGTTTGCTCGTTGGCTTCAACTAAACCCATAATCGTTCCAGGTCAGTAAATATAACCAATACTGTTTTTAATTCTAATGAAACTACAGTGAAATCTACAGCTTTCCCCTCCTCCCCCAGACTTTCCTTTAAGCCAAATCTCGTAGTGGCAAAATACTATAAACAACTTAATCCCTAGGCCAATTATCACCAGTGTGGTAGCTGCCAAATGTATTGGGATTATAATTCCCAGAATCCCAGTCATTACTCTGGCTGGGAATTCTGGAGGACTTTATGTCCAAAGTAAAAAAGTGCCTGTGGGCCCCCATGTGCCCCCAGATACCTCCCTTGTTATCCACCAGGTTCCCTGTCCCACTTTAAAAAAGATAGATAGATAGATAGATAGATAGATAGATAGATAGATAGATAGATAGATAGATAGATAGATAGATAGATAGATAGTCATAGGAAGCTGGTAGGTGGCAAAGCAAAACATTACTCACAAAGGATCACATTTTTTGGAGCAACACCAGCTGGGGAGTAGGAAAAAGCTAGCATACTTGTAGCAAGTGGGTGTTTTGTGGGCGTCCATGTTTGCAAATAGGCAAGTTTCTGTGGCAGCCATATTGTGTATGTTTACCTGCACACTTTCCAAACTCCAAACTTGTTCTGTCACCAAATGGTTGCCTACCTCCAATGCATTAAGTGTTAGCCAGTTTGTATACCTTAATCATTCTAACTTTTTGTGGACATTAAACTAGAAAATTGGACTTTTATAAGGATATCTTAGACTTGGGAATCTAACCTTATCATTCATTATCCTTTCCTTCATCATACTTCCAATCTCTGGGGGTATAGACTGCAGAGTTGCATGATCGAGGGCCTTTGTTGGTAGCTAATCAAAATTTGTGATTATCAGCAATTACGACTCATCTAAGAACAGGCAACTTCACGGACAACACTTCATAGTTTTCCAGATTGAGGAGAGGGTTGAAGCTTGTTCATGTCATACATCATGTAAGTTCAGGTCAGCAGGAATATCAACAAAGAGGACCTACTGAAAAGAACTACAGTGGTACCTCGGGTTATGAACACCTCTGTTAACGAACTTTTCGGGTTATGACCACCTCCGGCCGCAAAAATTTATCTTGGTTTGCGAACTCTGCCTCGGGGTACAAACAGGATATGCGGCCATTTTCCCTCCCGTGACACGATCCGTGGCCATTTTTCCGCCCCTGACACGTGGTCCGCGGCCATTTTCCACCCCTGACACGTGGTCCGCGGCCATTTTCCCCCCCTGACACGTGGTCCGCGGCCATTTTCCCCCCCTGACACGTGGTCCGCGGCCATTTTCCCCCCCTGACACGTGGTCCGCGGCCATTTTCCCCCCCTGACACGTGGTCCGCGGCCATTTTCCCCCCCTGACACGTGGTCCGCGGCCATTTTCCCCCCCTGACACGTGGTCCGCGGCCATTTTCCCCCCCTGACACGTGGTCCGCGGCCATTTTTCCGCCCGACACATGCTCCGTGGCCATTTTCCCGCCCCTGACACGTGGTCCGCGGCCATTTTTCTGCCCCTGACACGTGTTCCGTGGCCATTTTTACGCCCCTGACACGTGGTCCGCGGCCATTTTCTGCCCCTGACACGTGGTCGTAGGGAGGGGG